ATTCAAATCCGTTCGCTGTACAAAACGTCTGCATGTGTCCAGGAAATGCTGTTTTGACATATTCAACAGACGGTCACAGACCAATGACGTATGTGTATAGCCAATGAACATGGATGTCATTTTAAAATGTCCAGAATAGCCGCATTGACTTGCTGTACTGTTTCCATGTGGGGCTTTCAAGCACAGGTCTTGTCTGAGGAGATTTATAGGGCACTCACTTTTAGTTGGCTGTTTCTTGACGCTTCTGCGCTTGTCCTGGGTCATGCGTTTGTGGTTGAAACTTGAGTGTTTCTCAGCATTACCGCGTCGTGACATCTTTGACTACAAGTACAGTAAAACCTGGTATAAGCAACCACCCCACGCCCACGCCCACGGTGCAAGCAACATCGGTCGTTAAAGCCAGGTGGTCTTTAGAACCAGTGTCTGTGTAGAACTGTCGGTGCATGGAAAAACGGTCGTTAAGAGCAGGTGGTCGCTAGACCCAGAGGTCGCTAGACCCAGAGGTCGCTAGACCCAGAGGTCGCTAGACCCAGAGGTCGCTTACACCAGGTTTTACTGTATTTCTCGTTTTGGCGGCCGCTTTGTTATTGTGTGTTGCTCTAGGATCGGGCTGTGGATGCCGAGAGGGTGAGAGAACGCGAAGGACGCCATGTGCTGGATGTACAAAGTCAGCTTGCCAACAAGCAGAAGGAGATGGACCTGCTCAACAGCAAACTGCAGAGTCGCGAAGAAGCCAGCGTGGCGCTCTCCGCCCAGGTTAGACAGCTCAAGAAGGCCAACGAGGCGGCAACCAATAGGCAGCTGGAGATGGTCGAGTCGGAGAAGCACAGTCTACAGAATGCCATGCGCAGAGAGAAAGCAGCGGCGATTGGCAAGCTTCAGGAGACGATGAAGGCGGAAAAGCAGAGGGAGCTGCAAGAGGTATGTAGTACAGTGCTGCATGGTTGGAGAATTTCAACTTCGTGAGCAAAACAGTGCCGGGCCCTACATGATCTTAGTAGCGGCACACACAATGACACAATGATTATTATCATGTGTACTCGAACACGGAGCTAGTTCATACGTACCGTATTTCCCCGATTATAAGTCGCACCCAATTATAAGTCGCACCCCCATTTTCAGGTTTGAGCCATATTGTTTTGATTCAGTAGTAAGTCATGCTCGATTGTAAGTCGCACCCCTTTCTCATCCTTGAATTGTTATGTCAAAAGGTGCGACGTATATTCGGGGAGATAGGGTAGGGTCGTTTTCTCAGGCCCCAACGGTATGTAGCAATGTGTCAAGGTGCTGTGTTTGTATGTTAATTAACTGAGAAGTGAGTAGGGTGACGACGGGTTCAGATCAATAGTTAAAGGGGAAGTATACCCTAAAATCAAATTTTCACCAGTTGTAGTCTTCTGGGTGCTGAGTCGAATGGTCTTGGTCCGAGGAAGCTGCGACGCTCCCTTCCTACTTGAATCCCAATCGAACTCGCGCACTTCCACCGAAACTGGGTGACTGCGCCCTACTAGATGGGGATTTGTATGCAAAATGTCACTAAAAGCGCCATTTCGTTCTTATAAAAGCACGGATGACCGCGATTGGCCCATATGTTGTAGTCTTTTGGACGCTGAGTCGACTGGTTTTGGTCCGAAAAGGCTGCGATGCAGCGTTCCTCCTTTATCCCCAATCGAACATGGTTGAACAAGCGGTCACGTGCTCCTGGGTGCCCAAATCACCTCGTCACCGCGCCAGCAGGCGACAACTTTCACACCAAGGTTCAACTCGAGTTCAACTCGAGTGACAGGACTGCACTCAAAAAAGGTCAAACAGGCTAGTAAGTTGTACCCTGCAGGCACGGTGACCAGGTGACTGGTGTACGCAGGAGCACGTGACCGCTTGTTCAACCATGTTCGATTGGGAATAAAGGAGGAACGCTGCATCGCAGCCTTTTCGGACCAAAACCAGTCGACTCAGCGTCCAAAAGACTACAACATATGGGCCAATCGCGGTCATCCGTGCTTTTATAAGAACGAAATGGCGCTTTTAGTGACATTTTGCATACAAATCCCCATCTCGTAGGGCGCAGTCACCCAGTTTCGGTGGAAGTGCGCGAGTTCGATTGGGATTCAAGTAGGAAGGGAGCGCCTCAGCTTCCTCGGACCAAGACCATTCGACTCAGCACCCCGAAGACTACAACTGGTGAAAATTTGATTTTAGGGTATACTTCCCCTTTAAGTCACATAACCTGGTAGGATTGTAACCTAGGCGCAGGAAATTTTCGGGATCCGACCACAGTGTGGTTGTTGGGTCCTATCAACTGCCGGGCCTGCTATCACTTAAGGAGTAGAATTTGTGCCTTGATGCACAAGGACGTTGGCATTCATCCCTGAGGTGCTGAAAGGTCTACGAGCCGTATCCGATCTGCTCACTCACCCATGAAAAGTGTTTTTTGAAATACCTCTGTGTCTTGTATTAAAGCATGTCTCGTATAGAAGCCTGTTTTGAATAGAAGCCTGATTTTTCAAGATACACTGTCCGCACATAAGCCTGGTTTTAGTGTTGACACACATAGAAAATACCTGGTTTGAATAGAAGCTTGATGTGAATATAAGCCTGGCCCTGACATCGGCTTTTACAGGAATAATCCCGGCTTTAATACGCGACACCACGGTACCTCTTTGTCAAATTTCAAATTGCAAGTGTATGCGCATGTGTGTGATGGACAACAGCATGCTAGTGTATCATGGCCTATGTCACTACAGAACTTTGCAATCTGTGTATTACCTTGCTTCCTTCAAGACCATACCCATAGATTATGTTCACAGTATGGCATGCATAGGTTCTATGTTTGTGCATACTTTTGTGATGGCAATCAAGACTATGTCTTGAAGACAAGCGGAGTCGACATGTGTTCATGCATACCTTATTCATGCAGTGTAAACCGCTGGAGACAATGTGCTATAAAACGATGAAAGTAAAGTACATACATGTACATGTATGTACCCCTTGTTGATTCACAGGGGCGTCGGAAGGTATTTTAGTGTGGTACGGCCAGCCGTCTGAAGTACAATTTACTCGTGGGGGAGTGGTGGCTGAGCCGAAAAATTGGAAATCTAGAGCCCAGATCAGTGTATTTTATTGGTCCACGGGGGTGTCTGGGGCCAAAAGGTTGTACGGTCAATACCGTAGTGACCGCACCGTGTCCGACGTCCCTGATACTTAATTGATTCATTGTAAACCGCTGGAGACAATGTGTATCAATAAAACGATGAAAGTAACGCATACATGTACCCTTGTCGATTCAGCTTGTCTTATTGATTGTGTTGCCTAAAATCCCCTGATTCAGCTTGTCTTATTGATTGCGTTGCCTAAAATCGCTGTCTCCTCACCAACCGTATACACATGTGTTTGTGCCGCGTCTTTATCAGCAATCTGAGCGTCTGCACCAGGAGAAGCAGACGGCCGTGACGCGTGCGGAGAAGAAGCTAGCCAGCCAGATTGACGAGCTGTCCAAGGCTGGTCGCCTCAAGGACGAGGAGCTTAAGTCGACGCGTGCACTGCTACGGGAACAAGAGGAAGCTACTCGCGCGCTGGGAGAAAAGATGAGAATGCAAGCCAGAGTGCAGGTAAAGCTCTATATGCCACATTCAACTACTTTGCCATACTTAATTCTGTGTGCCATATTAAGATTCTTGGGCCTTATTAAACTCCTGGTGCCATATTAAACTCCACGTCCTACATCAAACGTTACATTCCATAATTAAATATCCAAGCCTCTTGTACGGGCATAATAAGCACAATTACGAGTGCAACCTCAACAGCACCGGAAGAAAAACAAGCGAAATTGGCTGTGAAAACAGTCGAGAGAGCAAAAATGGCTGTGAAAACAGTCGAGATAACAAAAAACAATTGCTTTGAAAACAGTCGAGAGAGCAAAAATGGCTGTGAAAACAGTCTAGTATGGAGCCTCGGGAGGTCCATAATGCAATTCCTTGTCCCGTGTGCAACAATATGCCCCATATGGCGACTCCATTTCCCCATATGCCACTCCACCGTCCCATATGCAACTGCACAATGATGTCCCATGTGCAACTCCATGTCCCATATGCAACTCCATGTCCCATATGCAACTACTTTTTCCTATGTGAAGACTGCAATTATCTTGTACATTGCTCTCCTATACGGGTGTGTTATCTCCATGACTGTGCCAACCAGGAAAATACAATTCTCTCTGTGGCATTCTGCAGTTGTGAAATAATTCTCGCTCTGAACCTCAATCTGTTGGTAAACACCTCCAATGTTGTTTGAATTCTTTATCAGTGTCACGATTGCACCGTCGCCAATAAGAGATAAGTTTATGAGAAGGCGAGATGTTACTGTTTCATATCTTTATACTCACGATGGCCTGTGGCCAATAAGAGATAATTATAGTGAGATTAGTATGATGATGCGGAAATGTCATGGCCGGCAGTCATTAAAATTGTCGCTTCCCAGAGCCAGAGCGACTTTTCAAGTTTATTTTGTCCACTCGAAGGGCAAAGAAATCAGCTAGAGATTGACGCAGAGCATTGTCGACGGACCAAGCTTTAGTTTGTGGCCTCCAGCTTCGCTGCACTTGCAGCTAAGGTCGACGTCTTCATCAGAGTTTGAGGCAGACCCTTCAGCACTCAGCAATACGCTGAACAACACGCGCATCAAATTCAGGTCATGAAACTCCGTTTTCAAGCGATCCATGCCTCCATGTGGCAGGCGATGATGGCAAACTAGCATTTTTCAAGTACACTTTAACGACCTTCCAGCGGGTTAGGGTAAGCAGTTCCGCACCTTCTTTCCTTGGCAAGCGCTTTGCTGATTTTGTTGGTGTTTTTAGACCTGCTACGCCTTGATCCTTGAAGGGTGGTGGCGTTCCTACGGATGCGGAAAGCCCGGCTTCCAGCCGAGTCTCACGCGGACCGTGAATTTTTTTATTTTTTACCTTCGCATTTTATGATTTGAGAACACTTTGTTCTTGCCATTGTGAACTTCAGCATTTCGAATTCAGGAGAGATACCAAGATTCTTATACCCGAGCTTGCAGTCTTGATAAATGCCCACACGAACGATGTGGGACGGCATGAACTCCAGAAACGATACGCGCTCTGGGGCGGAATAGTTCGGAGCGCGATGAATTTGTTTGGTGCGGAAGAGAGCTCAGACAATGTCCGAGTCTGACTAAGACGAGCAAGTCACACAATATTAATATTGCGATGTGCGAAGCGACAATTTTTAATGACGTGGAGGGAGTAGATGTACGGGTGAGCGTGGCTTGTGCATAAGCGAATTGAATTTAGGAGCAGGGTTAATATATTTTGCTTAAACAAAGCTGGTGATTGAATATCACGTAACGTTGATGAGAGGCCATTGAAATAATGGAGAAATTTGTACAGAGGGGAGCCCAGGCAGCGGTCGGTTCTTGCAGTTGGCAAATGGCAAGTGTGAGTATGCCGATAGCTATAGCCTGTATTGACATGATTCGTTGCTTTTGTTGTTGTTCAGGTGAAGACGGCAGTGGACAAGGAGAGAGAGAAGTGCGGCGCTGAGTTTGAGCGGGAGAGGAAGAAGCTGCGCGAGCAGCACAACGAGGAGCTGCAGCGGCTGACCGGCAAGTCCAAAGACGACGGCGAGCGGCACAAGCAGAAGCTCGGCAACCTGCAGGCGGCTCTCGTGGCAACGAAACAGGTCAGTTTCCAATGCTGAATGCCGTTGACGCACGGCCCGGATTCAAAACCTGTGAAGTCCTGGTGCTACCCAAACATGTGTGGTGGACAGTCTATGCACATGACCAGTGTACAGTCTATGCACATGACCAGTGTACAGTCTATGCACATGACCAGTGTACAGTCTATGCACGTGACCAGTGTACAGTCTATGCACATGACCAGTGTACAGTCTATGCACATGACCAGTGTACAGTCTATGCACATGACCAGTGTACAGTTTATGCACATGACCAGTGTACAGTCTATGCACATGACCAGTGTACAGTCTATGCACATGACCAGTGTACAGTCTATGCACATGACCAGTGTATAGTCTATGCACATGACCAGTGTACAGTCTATGCACATGACCAGTGTATAGTCTATGCACATGACCAGTGTAAAGTATACACAGTTGACTACGCTTATAACAAACTCGCATATAGCGAATTCTTGTGATATAGCAAACCGTTGGCCATGTCCCGGTTGGAAACCAAGGTGTGAGTGCAGTTCTGTTATAACAAACTTTGGCGTAATAAAGAACTCATTCTCCTACGCAATGGTGTTTGTGGCAACATGAGTCTACTGTATGCCGTACTTTCCAGAATACAACCCGCACACTAAACACTCCTTGTGCATGTGATCGAATTGCCCCCAAGCCCCACGCCCCCCCCCCCAAGCCCCACGCCCCCATGCCCCTCCCCCCCCCCCACCCACCCCCAACCCACCGATCAGGGAGGGAACGTTGTGAAAGATGTGTGATTCTATGCGTGTGTGTACTTTGGTCCTGTTCTCTCAGGAGCTCGAGGATCAGAAGACCGTGTTGAAGCAGAGCCAGCGTGAACGCCAGACAGCCATCAACAAAGCTAAAGACTTTGCCCGTCAGGAGAGCAAGCAGGAGCTGGCCAAGCTGAAGCATTCCCTCGAGCAGGTAAATACACAGTGTCTGCAAATATGTGTGTGTGTGTGTGTGTGTGTGTCTGAGTCTGTATGTGCACTTGTGTGTGTGTGTGTGTGTGTGTGTGTGTGTGTGTGAGTCTGTATGTCCACTTGTGTGTGTGTGTTTATGTTTGCATGGTGTATGTTCTTCTTTGTGCATAATAGGATGCCAGCAATCAACGTGAACAGCTGTCCAATCGCAATGCCCAGCTGGAGATGGAAGTCAAGAATATCCGTGCAAAGGAATGCACTGCCGCTGCTAGTGTTAAGGAGGTGAGTTTGAGCATTCATGGGTTAAACAATATTATTTTCTGCTCTGCATTTTACCCCCCCCCCTCCCCCCCCCCCCCACACAAACATCCCCCCCCCCCACACACACACACATTCCACACACAAACACAGTGGATTGGGGTACAATTTATGATTCACTCCCTAGATAGTACACTGAAGCATTGGGAGTTGCCAAGGGCAGCTACATGGTTCGAAAACTCCGTATGGTGGAGCACGGATCAGCGTGCAGTGTGCGTAAGACTTTCCGTAGAACGACTACGTTTTTACTAACGTTATCACGTTATGCGAAACCTGTCTATTATGAGTACAGTTAAGCCTGTGACTAACGACCACCACCCCCCCCCCCCCTTTGGGACCAGAGAAAACGGTCTCCTTGGGACCAGAGAAAACGGTCTTTCGTGGCAGATGGTCCTTAGTTAGAGGTTTGCACCACACAACCATATATGAATGTGAGACCGTCCGTGCCTGGCGAAGTGGTCTGTAGTAGCAGGCTGGTCGCTAGTCACGGTGGTCTTTAGTTACAGGTTTAGCTGTATGATCGTCAAAAGCTGTTATGCTTCTCTGTTTCGGTGGCTGTTGAACATGCGACACGTGTATTGCAGGTACAGCGTAAGCTAGATGATCTGGAACGACTGGTGGTGACGGAGGTGTTGGATGAATGTCGACGCATCTCTCTGGCATGTGCAGTTAGTCCCGCTCTGCGGAGGAAAACACCCGCCGACAAAGGGTATGGATGAAGAGAGGGAGAGAGAGAGAGAGAGAGAGAGAGAGAGAGAGAGAGAGAGAGAGAGAGAGAGAGAGAGAGAGAGAGAGAGAGAGAGAGAGAGAGAGAGGAGGGGGGGGGAGGGAGGGAGGGAGGGAGGGAGGGAGAGAGAGAGAGAGAGAGAGAGTGAGTGAGTGAGTGAGTGAGTAAGAGAGAGAGAGAGAGAGAGAGAGAGAGAGTGAGTGAGTGAGAGAGAGAGAGAGAGAATGTGCGTGCAGGTCTGATGATTTGATATGGGGTGTTCCTGAGCAACTTGTGACGATAAACTTTTGTTATGAATAATGTCGGCTGTTGAACTGAACTTGTTGTAGTTTTTGCACGTGTTTACCGCCTTGGCGTTTGTTTTTGAGTTGTGTGCTTTTTGTATGTCTGGCTATCTGCTGATGTTCTCGGTGAAATCTGTGGCGATTAGTCTGTCTTTTAGTGATAATTGTGCGCGTGTGCTCGTGTGTGTGTGTGTGTGTGCGCGTGCGCGCGCGCGCGCGTGTGTGCTTGTGTGTCTGTTCATTTGTTGTTTGGTGACTGTGTGTTTACTCCGTGTTGACTCCATGTTGACTATAGTGGTGGTAGTGGTGAGGATGTGACTGCAAAGCAGGAGAAGAGCTGCATCTCAGCCAGACATGCACTGGTAAGCACCAACACACTGTCCTGCACACTGCCCTGTACACTGCCCTGCACTATGACTTGAAGAGGTTACGGGAAGGGGTTTTGCGTAGCTGGATGGACAGGCAGTGGATCAAGTTGTTCTCATCTCTATTGTTCTGGTGCAGACATCACTCCGGCAGTCCGGTATGGATGTGCGACAGTGCGTGTCCGACCTGCGTGGTGACCTGGAGCGCGAGAAGCAGGTGTTACAGCGTGTCAAGAAGGACAAGGTATGTGACACGCCGTGCCATAGCATAGTACTGAGACACACACACTGGAGTCAATGCCTTTGGGAAACTTCCGCTTTCCCAGTGCAAGCCGTGGTGCAGTTGACAGGCATCTATCTCCCTTGATGTTCGATTAATTATTTATTATATTCATTATTTTACTACTTCGAAGTAGGGAATTCCCAACAGGCATCATCGCCTTTTTACAGGGAGCCCTAAGAAAGTCTTGATGGATGATCGCAATTCAGATGTGAATTGCACATTGCAGACTCTTAGACCACTAGTCCTATCCAGCGTCGACGAATGCATATGCTACAGTCCATTACTCCAACGCAACAACGGCAATGTACGCACCCACCAACACTAGTCGTACGCACAAGGCAATCTACCCACGCTAGTCGTACATGTGCTGTGCACAAAGTGACCACATGCGACACCTATGCTGGCATGTTGTTGTTGTTGTTGTTTCTTTATTTTACTTCGCCATATGAACAGGCAAGACTGCCTTCTCACCGGGGCTATTGGCCCACAGCTCTCACAATATGATGAAAATGTTTAAAATGTGTATGAAGAAGAAAGGAACAGAGAAAGGATGCTGTGCACACATCCCGGTAAAACTATTAGTCTCGAGAGAGATTCTCTGAACCTTCTTCAATGTACGGAGGCAGCTCCACTGTAGCCAATTAATCATGTCTCAATCTCCTTCTTCACCGCCATGGTCTGACACTGGATTCGCCTGTACGTGCGTGTATGTGTATGCTTGGCAGGTGCATGAGATCAGCCAAGCGAAGGACCAGCAGATCAAACAGACTGCAACAGACCTGGAGAAGCTACGCGCAAAGCTTGCCAGGGTAAGAGCTCCGTTAACTCATTCAGCGTTAAAGCCGAACACATTATGTCATTGAAAATGACGCCCAGGCACTGAGGGCGTATAGTACATCTTTTCAATGCCGAATAAGGAGTGCAGAGCCTGGGTGCCACAATCTGTAGCCTTAAATGGGTTGTCCTTTTTCGCGTTCCTCTCGTCCCATCCACCCTTCCAGGAAACTTCCTCGATAAGGATCCATTTACTTTTGGAGAATCTTTCAAATAAAGTCTAAACGAAAAAAAATGAAAGATTGCATGTACAGTCAACTTTGCTAATAACGACTGCGGATATAATGACAATTTGCAAATAATGACAGAATTTTCGTGCCCAGAGCAAATTCCCGTCTACCTGTTTACATATAATGAGACTTTGGGTATAAGGACACTTCACGAATAAGGATACTTTCCTGATGTCCCGCCGAGTGTCGTTCTATGCAAAGTTGACTGTACTGTAAAAGCCATTATTCTAACGAGGCACATATATAACGATTTCCCAAAATTGACTAGTTTACGTGTACCAAAGGTAACGATTCTCACCCATTCTCAACGCTCAATAGGACAGTATATGTATCGATTTCTGTATAACGATTTCTATTTTAACGACAGATTTCTCCTCGTTAACTCATTAGAGTTAGCACTTCGTTATATATACATGGCTTTTGCAGTATGTGATTGCTTGCCGTTATGGATGTGAACTGAGCTGAGGAAGACAAGTAGACGTTGCACATGTATGATTGTGACACTGTGTGGCTACACAGCGTAATGTTTCTAGTACACTCAGGGAAGCCTGTTGTTGGAACCGTTGTTGGAAGGTTGGCATAGTTGAATGATGGAAGCTATGGGTAGGGCAGGTCCGGGGTTATTGGGGTGGTCAATTTATATGTTTGAAAAGCCATCGTGTGTGTATGTATGTGTATGTGTGTGTGGGTGGTGTGTGCGTGTGTGTGCGTGCGTGTGTGTGTGTGTGCGTGGGTGTGGGTGGATGGATGGGATGGTACATCCGCGCCCATGATATGTCCATGTCTCGCAGGAGCACGCAGCCGAGAAGGCTGAGCTAGAGAAGGTGCTGAGTCGAAAGTTTGATCAGCGGCTGGCGCGTGCCACGGAGAGTATAGGAACTGAGCAAAAACAACGCGTGCAAGCTATGCAGAAGAACTATGACGAGGAGCAGAGAAGCAAGCGTGAGCGAATGTCTGACGATGTATCGATAGAAGTGGAAAAGTAAGCGTGCCTCTTCAATACAGGTGGAATCCTGACAATTCATATATGGCTTAATTTGAACCTACTGCGTAATTAGAAGTTTCTTCCGGCACAGATTTCCATCAATACGACTCCCAGATAACAATATCTGATAATTCAAACCTCGAACCCGGGCATGTCCGGCTACTAGTACTGTATAACAGTACAAATTTTCGTTTTGGAATTAACTTTCGCTATATTCGTTAGTTAACCCTTTTCATGCCATGGACGCGTATACGCGTTTTTTTTAGTATGAGCCGATTGGCTATGGACGCGTTTACGCGTTCTGCCTACACTGTACAATGTACACTGTACAGTACATGTGTATCGCGCGCTATAGACGAGTGTACAAACTGTCGTAACTCCGTCAAAATATCCCGGATTGCTAAGGTTGAGACACCGCTGGAAAAGCTCAGCTTTCCAGGGATATAAAGTTCTTCGCGATACGAAAAGGTATGACCGAGCGGCGATAAATTGAACGGCCAGAATGCGCAAATTTCATTTTTTGGGGATCGATTCAAATTTTTTGTTCGCGACTTCGTGCGGGCTAGGGGATTTCCCCTAGATACAGCGCGTGCGCAATCAGCTGCAACAAACGCGCTTGAATCTCAGCTTTCCAACGCAGTTTGAATCGTGAAAATCAGTTCACAATGAGCAAGAAGACGAAAGAAAACATGAGAGGCAGTCGTTTTGTTATTTTCAGGCATGGTAGAGGGACTTTGAGAGGAGATGGAAGTGGCCCTGGTATGCCTGTCGCGCTGTGAGTCCCTGAAATGGCTTCCTGTTGTCCAGATCTTTCCAACAAGCCATGGATCGTGAAAATCCATCAAGGTATAGTGAAATAGCAATAAATTTCGTTCTGAGGTGCGCGTGCAGCTTTGAACAGTTGAGCTCAGCGCCTGAACAATGCGTGGCCAACACGGGAAAACATGCTGGCATGGAAAGGGTTAAGGGGCACGACATAACTAAACTTTGTAGCGAACTAAAGTTGTTTTTCTGAGTGTTTGGGGTGACAGGCCTCAACAAAACACGATTTTTTAGTATGTAACAAGCCTGCTGATGGAGTGATCTAACAAAAGATTTCGTGAACGAAAATTTGTACTTATACAGCGGTTAGAAGCTGCACGGAATGCACTTACATGGGAAATGTGCGGGATTCGTGCTGATAATTCAAAGTTGGCAAAGCGTAATTTGTAGTTTGCTGTACATTTATCCAAGTCAGTTCAGTGTGCCTGAGTAGGCTGTACTGGCCAGTTCAGTGTGCCCGAGTAGACTGTACTGGCCAGTTCAGTGTGCCTGAGTAGGTTGTACTGGCCAGTTCAGTGTGCCTGAGTAGGCTGTACTGGCCAGTTCAGTGTGCCTGCGTCAGGCGAAATTACTGGTCAGTCGGCGACACGCATTTTTCACAAAAAATTGCGTTTCACCTGTTGGGAGAGTATGCGTGTATCGAGTCTCATCCTGAGCACGTTTTTTTCTTCTTTTTTTCAGCTCCAGTATGGCTGTATTTTTCATTGCAAAGCCGTCCTCGATTGTTGTGTTCGTTGTTCAAACGAAGTGGACATTCAATGATGAAGGCAGAGGACGTAGGAGCCTGATTGGAGTTTCTCGTGGCATAGGACGGCCACACAGAGACACTTTGGGATTTTCTGAAAATAAAATACTGTACGCACGATGCTGAGATCAATTTGTGCCATATGAAATTGTTTGTGATCTACCACATCGAGCAGAACGGGATCCAAACACAAGCTTACCGACGGTTAGGCTGCCGACCTGACTGGACAAATGATCCCTGGCTTCACCAGACGCCAGAAGTCGGACACCATGTCCTTTGCCACGACGTCCATCTCCAAAAAGAACTCAATCTTCGTCGTGAAAAGGCTTGAAATACTCAATATTCAACCGAGATTCGCGGTCTCACCCTTTTTTAGATTGAATCATTTTTTGTTGTAGCAGTTGCAGGGCAGATCCCTGCCACTACTTCAACAGGCGATGGCTCCAAAGCATGCCTGGAACAAGCCATATCGAGGTTGCAAGCCACCCCTCTCAGCAAAAAATTCGAAGAAATTCGAAATTTCAATGGTGGAAGATATACTATGAAGAGAATTTCAAAAAGTATGTTTCGCGGAGCGATCGCTCAACCTGCGTCATTCAAACTTTGCAGGATGGTTCAGACGTACATGCTAGGCATGGAACCACAGAAGATGATATCATAGCTGACACACAGAGTCACATACACAGCAGATTCGTGTGCACAGATACTAAATTAGTGGACGTCGTCATCTTCTTCCCGCTGATCTCGAATGTACTATGACGTGCTATTTCGCCTGACGAGTAGGTTGTACCGGCCAGTTCAGTGTGCCTGAGTAGGCTGTACCGGCCAGTTCAGTGTGCCTGAGTAGGTTGTACCGGCCAGTTCAGTGTGCCTGAGTAGGCTGTACAGGCCAGTTCAGTGTCTGCCAAATCTGCGTCTGTGCTTCATATAGAAACTCTGCAACATGACAACTTGCTAGAGGTTTTTAAGATGTGTTTGTATCAAGAATCGATTTTCAGGCTCGGGTCATCAGTGGAGATCCGGAACTAAAGTGATTAGGTGAATAAACAAAAAAAATCAATTCTGGATACAAAGTACAAACGCATTTAAACCTCTAGCATGCTGTCATGTTGCATGGTGATGTCTGCGGCATTCATACTTTTCATAGCTCACAGAAGAACTTTGACTACCGGTCACAGTGCAGAGCTTAGTACAAACTAAAATCCGGTGGAACAGAAAGTGTGTATCCTGGTGATTTCTTTTCAGCATGAAACTCGTGAGTAGAGACATTTTACCGTATTTCCGCGCATATAAAGCCATGGCGTTATATCCGAATATAAGGCCACCCTCACTTATAAAGCCATGGCGTTATAAGTGAACAAAATTCAATGTGGAGGAAGTTGCATCTGGCGTTAAAGGTGAGTTCAATTCTTTCAGTGAACGTACAGTAGCGGTGATTCTCTCTGCATGTACTCATCCCCACTGTCACATGCCATACCGCCACCGCACCTTCACACAAGTTTCCATGCCACCTTGTACACAATAGGTTCACATTTTGAAATTTTCAGGGAAATTTAAAGTACATGGATGCTCGACATGAACGTGCAACGGCACCGTACGAGTACTCGAAGTTCATACTCTGCCGATATTTTGCAAGTACGCGTCTCTCACTTTTAGCGCCATGGCGTTAAAACCGAGGCTATTTTCTCCAAAAATTTGGTCCAAAACAGCGATGTTTCAAGTATAACGCCATGGCGTTATATGTGCGGAAATACGGTAAAATCACTTTTTGTTCCACCGGATTTTTGTTTGTATTTTTCATAGCCCTTACTATTATGTTTCATTGTCTGTTATTGCTGGCCTGCCTGCAAAGGAGAGTGAGTGATCTGATGAAGAAAGCCAAGCTTCAGCACCAGAAGGAAATCCAGAACTATGTGCGTGAGATCGATCACCTAAATCGACAGCTACGACAATCACCCCTGCCACGCTCCAGCTCATCACAGTCGCTGGGTAGTGGCGGGTCCAGGCGACTACCCAGGTATGAACTGTGCATTCATTTTTATTTTTTATTTATTTTTTACTATGTTCACATACCCAACTCGTACATGATAATGAAAGACAGTGGTACTGAGACAAGGAAAAAGTGTACAACAATTCCATTGTGTGTGCTCTGTGCTCTTCATCCACATTAGGCAACACAAACCCTACACCCACCACAGACCATGGACAGGAGCCGATCCAGGGGGTGGGGTTTCTGTAGGCATGCAAGAAGCCAGACTAAGCACACGGAAAGAATAGACAACTAGCCATTGTGTCTCTCAGATTCTTCATCTGTAAAACCAGCTCAACAGCAGCATATGGCCAAGAGCATTACGCAATGCACTGTTACCATGACTGTGCACATCAGTACTACAGCCGTGATGTACAATGCATGACTACCACATTACCCCCCTTCCCTAAGAAAAAAAATTGTCTGCAAATGCAAACCTGTTTGAGAAAAAAAAAAGGAGAGAAAAAAAAGGAAAAAGAAAAAAGGAGAAAATTGCAGACAAGAAAAGAACAATAAAATTGCAGAGGAAACGAGCAAAGAATCAATTCAAAGCAACAAATTCGATACACCCTGACACTGACGGGTCAACTCACTGAAGATACATCAAACCTGTACCACGATACAAACATAAGAAACCAAACCAGCAACTAAATCGCAAATTGGCATAGTTATGCAACATGGTCAGTCAAAATGGAGATATTACATCAATGCACCAGCAGCTTTCTCAGTGAGCTTGACAGTGCGGCCAGCGCGGGTTACATAGCCCTCGCGATAGAGCGAGCCAGACTGGGCATCGGGCTGTGGTAGGCGTGATTGACGACGTGATTGGTCACTGGACTCAGGATGAATCTGAGCATCAGCCTCTTTGATCTCAGATTCCACTCCTGCTTCACACGGAGCAGTAGGCGTAGCAGGCGGCACATCTGCATTAGGTGCCGAGGATTTCACTTCTGACTCGGTAGCTGGCTGGGGATCTGGCGTCGGAACTGGCTGGAGATCCAAAGACCGAGAAGAGGTGGCAGTTGATGATGCAGGTGAAGCATGTTCTCGCACATGCTGCCGATTTCGGAGCAGTATCCGCCTGCCATCAGTGACGCCGACTTGTCTGCCATATTGCTCCACAACACGCCAAGGGGTAGTTGGGTCGGAATAGCCATCCTGCAAGACTACCATTGTGCCAGGACGCAGCATAGGCAACTGGCGGACACCGCGGCGACTATCATGCGAGACTGCCATGTCAGCTTTGGCGCGAATCTGATGAGAAGCATTCACAATGCGTGGGGTAGAATGGTGAGGTAGACGGGTGCGAACCATGCGACCGAAGAAAGCCTCATTGGGTGACATGCCCAGCATTCGGTGCACTGAGTTGCGAATATCAAAGAGAACTTGTTGCAAACGGCGTTGCAAAGACAGGGACGGTCGTAGAGATTGAATTCTCTCTTTGACGACTCGATGAAGACGTTCCACCATGCCATTAGATCTGGGGTAGCGTGGGCTTGATCGATTGTGCTGGATACCCAACCGCTGCAGGAACTGGGCCATTTCGGCTGAGGCAAACTGGGGGCCATTGTCGGACACCAACACGCTAGGCAGGCCGAACCTCGCGAACACTTCCATCAGCCGGTCAATGACAGCTGCGGTTGTGGTAGCTGACAAGGGAAGTAGCTCCGGATAGCGTGAACCGTAGTCGACGATGGATAATACTTGTTGACCCTCGATACACACCAGATCAACCGCCAGTTTCTGCCACACTCCTTCAATTTCTGATGGCAGCAGCTCTTGTGCGGGGTTTGTATGACGGCGCCAACACTCTGAACACTGCTCGGCGAACTTGTCGGCATCTTTAGACATGCCGGTCCACCATACTCGTCGTCGCAAAGCATCCTTGAATATGTCCCGACCTGGATGACCTTCATGGGCCAACTGCAGTACGGCATGTCGGAGAGCTTCTGGTATTACACAGCGGTTACCGAATAGCAGGATGCCGTCAATGGTCGTCAGCTGATCTCGGATAAGGTAGTATGGCTCTTCAGCGGGTGTGACTTGGGACCATGATTGCATCAAGACGCGCTGCTGTATGCTGCGCAACAGTGGGTCATCACTAGTCGCCTTGGCGATATCGTCGATATTGACTGGGCACTCTTCCAAGACCAGGCCAATGAACTCAGCCATAGAGCGGGCTTCTTCTGGTGAGGCAGTTGAGTCTTGGACAGGCGCTCTTGACAATGTGTCTTCACACACCATCTGCTTCCCAGGTGCATGTGACAAGGTGTACTGGTATGGCATGAGAGCGACCATCCAGCGCTGCAGCCGTGGTGGTACTTCGTCAAACGGCTTCTGGACGATTGAGATCAGGGGCTTGTGGTCGGTCACAACTTGAACAGATCTCCCCAGGACGTACTGTCGGAATCGAGTCAGAGAGAATACGATACCAAGCATCTCGCGCTCCAACTGGGAATAACGAGATTCAACATCGGACAATGAACGGCTGGCGCAGGTGACAGGTAACCAAGTGCCACTCTTGTCTTGCTGCCACAGAATAGCACCCAGACCAAGTGGAGATGCGTCACATGTTACCTTGGTTGGGACGTCCAAGGATGGCTTAAAGTACGCTAAGCACTCTAGCGACGAGGCCACGGCTGTCTTCGCATCGGTGAACGCGGCCGTCAGCTCATCATCAACGACGAATGGTTGTCGCTGAGCCAGTTTCCTCAGCGGCTCAGTTGTCTGTGAGAGCTGCGGTATGAATTTACCAAGGTACGTCACCATACCAAGGAAACGACGTACATCTGTCAACGTCTGCGGCAGCTGCAACTGTTGGATTGCCAGCAGCTTGTCACCGTCAGGACGCACACCATCCTTGCTCAGCCAGTGTCCCAAGTACTTGATTTCTGACTGGCGTACGCGACACTTCTCCCAGTTTAAGCGCAGGTTGGCTTCGCTCAAACGACGGAGTACGGCAGCCATGCGCTCGTCGTGTTCCTGTCGGTTGCGGGCATAGATGAGAATGTCATCAATATAGACAACGACTCCCGGTAGGCCGGCAAGGATGTCAGACACCACACGTTGAAATATCTCCGGTGCGCAAGCAATGCCAAACGGGAGTCTCTTGAATCTAAAGAGGCCCTTGTGAGTGGCGAAAGTGGTGAGCGGACGAGATTCATCGGCCAAAGGGAGCTGGTGAAAGCCAGATTCAGCATCCAGAACGGAGAACACTGTTGCACCGTCCAGCTGCGCATTGATTTCGTCAACGGTGGGAAGTAGGTGACGCTCCCGGACTACGCTCTTGTTTAGGACGCGGTAGTCCACGCAGAGACGCAAAGCACCGCTTGATTTCCTGACCGGCACCAACGGTGAGACCCACGGAGTAGCTTCTCGCACTGGCTCGATTATGTCATGCTTCACCAGACGATCCAACTCCTTGGCAATTTCATCCCGGATGCTGAAAGCATGCCGACGGGGTGGGAATGCTGTTGGAGTGGTGTCAGGGTCCACTGTGATAGAGATGGGCGTCACGTTCACCACATTGACTTCAGCAGAGGTCAGCAACTCCAGTTCGGAGATGACGTCCTGGCCATACAGGATTTGGCGGCCAGACGCGACTGGGACAACAAAACAACTACATACGATGCTGCGTGATCCAACAGAGACCGTCACATCAGCCATACCGAGTGTTGAGATGACGCCGCCATTGTACGCTTTCAAGATTCGATCACTCTTTCGCGTTGGCTGGACAACATCATCGGTTAGCACTGATCGGGTAGCACCGGTATCCAGTAGTCCTTCACAGGGACGGCCGTTGACGATCAGCGTCTTACGAAACAATTGCTGGTGCTGAGAAGTATCCACTGAGAATGCGTAATCACAGAAATAGTTGGCGTCATCCTCCTCCACCTGTTCGGATGTCATGCGCGCATTATCAGACTTGCGCGACAGGCATACTGTTGTAAAGTGGCCGACTTTCGAGCAGTTGCCACAAGTAGCATCCGCTGCAGGGCAATGCTGCTTGCCTCTTGGATGCGAGCGGCCACAGTACTTGCACTTCCCAAACTTCTTGTGCGCAGAGGCAGGCTGGGAGTGTGAAACACGGTGAATGTGAGAGAATGAATTCGACAATGGAGTAGCTGCAGCGTCACCATAAAGCTTGCTGTCCGTGATAGAGGACTCGAGTGCCACAGCTTTGCTCACAGCATTGGCTAGTGTCAACTTTGACTCTTTGAGAAGTTCTTTACGTAGCTCCTGGGATCGCAGGCCCTCGATCAACTGGTCACGGATTTGTCCCTGATCAATGGTGTCCACGGCAGTAGACGCAAATTTACAGCGATCAGCTGCTTCGCGCAGGCGTCCCACAAACGATGTGACAGACTCACCCTCATTCTGGCGAAGCTGACGGAACCGGTGGCGTTCCGACGTTGTGTTTGTGGCAGGACGAAAATGAGCAATCACAGCATCCGTCAGAGCTTTGTACTCACATCCGGCACTGCCATCAGCCTGAGCTGGTGGAGTAGGAACTACGATTCCTTTAACAATACGCCTGACAGCGAGGCCTGCAAGGTTCAGAAACAGCCTCTTCTTATCAGCTGCCGTCGTAACTCCACAAATTTTCAGGTAATCATCAACGTCCTCGAGCCACAATTCGAAATCGGCTCCGATGTTGCTGGAAAAGTCAGGTACAAATTCCTTCGGCGCTCTGCCTTTGGGAGCGGACATGGCGACAAATCCGTGCCTGTTCACTGCGCCAATGTAGGCATGCAAGAAGCCAGACTAAGCACACGGAAAGAATAGACAACTAGCCATTGTGTCTCTCAGATTCTTCATCTGTAAAACCAGCTCAACAGCAGCATATGGCCAAGAGCATTACGCAATGCACTGTTACCATGACTGTGCACATCAGTACTACAGCCGTGATGTACAATGCATGACTACCACAGTTTCGGCAGTTCCGTGGAACCTCCTTCATTTCGAAACCATAATACGTGTAATTTGTTCTGTTGGTCTTACATCTAAAACTATTGTCACCTCGCTGCTTATTTCCATAAACCCTTTTCCTCACTGTCCTGTCTATGGTATTCCCGTTATTCTGACCATGTACTTCAGGTCGCATTCTCACAACTCTGGCCTCAACAAACCACAAACACCCGGCGCAGGCGCAGGCACAAAAACAGCAGCAGCAGAAGCAGCGGCAGCATCGGCGACGTCGCCGGAGACTCCCACTCAGACTGCACGCTCGCGCAGCTCCAGCCTGCACCGCAGCGGACACAGCACCGGATCGCTGGAGAGAAGGTCACGCAGGCGCGACCTCTCCGAGCCACGCCAGGCAGTGGTGACAACACCAACAACATCATCGGCGGAGACCACTGGTAGTTCCGCCACCACCACTGCCACTGCTACTACCCCACCGCCGGCAAGAAAAACCAGCAGTGGCCGACGAGAGCTGCCTAAGATTCCTACAGCTTCTTCAGCCACATCGGCAGTTACTACACCCACTCAGGCGTTGACTTTGTATTCCACACCCGACACCACTGTGCCGCCGTCGTCGTCGTCTTCGTCATCTTCAGCTGCAGCACGGGACGGCGACAAGCTGGACAAGGCGTTTGACCTGATCAAGAAACTCCAGCAGCGAAACAAGAAGCTCAATCGCGAGAATCAACGCCTGGCGGAGTCCGTCGCCATCGCTGACTCTAGTTCTCAGCAGCTGCTGGTTGCTAGCGGCGGCAATGACAATGACGGTGGAAACACCAGCAGCACAACTGTGGTTGCCCGTGAGGACGTTGCCAGGGTAGCAGAGGTGAGAGACCGTACAGTTTAGTTCAGTTCACTGTCGTGTCAGGCGCGTGCTCGGCGATGGGCACGGGGGGCACGTGCACCCCCCAAAAATTTTCAATCTGATCCAAGGCAATTGTAATGTATGCAAATATGCTCTAAAATTCAAGGAAGGTTGCAAACAAATTGCAGAAAATTGCCGGGGGGGGGGGGGGCTCCCCTCGGCTCCCGTGCACCCGCCTAGTTGGGGGGCCGAGCACGCCCCTGCGTGTGCAGCTAGTCGCTCAAGTAGTATTGTGCATGCAGTACTGCTCAAAGCGGAAATCCAGTCACCGCGTCACTCAAGTACGCGCCGCCGGGCGTTGAGGAGCCCTAGCCCTGCAAACACTGGGCTGTGAAATGGTGCAAGGCGCAGGGTGCAAACTTGAGTGACACGGTGACTGGATATCCGCTTTGAGCATCACTGTAGGAGTAATAGTAGTAGTGAAATGGAAATTGTGGGCACAAGTTATGCGATCGAGTCCACCAACAAAACCAGATTTTGAACAGTCAGACGTGCACAATCTAGCACAAAAACTGACAAGGAGTACTGAGACATTCCACAGCATGAAATTGTGCCCACAATTTCCATGTTACAAATAATTCTTTTTCCTTGGCTCACCATCTGAGTTCTTAATAATAGTGGTGTTATTGTTTATTGTGTTACTAGGGCAGTCCCCACAGATTTGTGTTACTAGGGCAGTCCCCACAGACTTGTGTTACTAGGGCAGTCCCCACAGGCTTGTGTTACTAGGGCAGTCCCCACAGACTTGTGTTACTAGGGCAGTCCCCACAGACTAGTGTTACTAGGGCAGTCCCCACAGACTTGTGTTACTAGGGCAGTCCCCACAGACTTGTGTTACTAGGGCAGTCCCCACAGACTAGTGTTACTAGGGCAGTCCCCACAGGCTTGTGTTACTAGGGCAGTCCCCACAGGCTTGTGTTACTAGGGCAGTCCCCACAGACTAGTGTTACTAGGGCAGTCCCCACAGACTTGTGTTACTAGGGCAGTCCCCACAGACTAGTGTTACTAGGGCAGTCCCCACAGGCTTGTGTTACTAGGGCAGTCCCCACAGACTTGTGTTACTAGGGCAGTCCCCACAGACTAGTGTTACTAGGGCAGTCCCCACAGACTTGTGTTACTAGGGCAGTCCCCACAGACTAGTGTTACTAGGGCAGTCCCCACAGGCTTAGTATCTCGTTACGGGGTACCCTAGATGATCACGTAAGATGCTGATAAGTGTTGCGAAGGAACCTGCCTGGTAACATTCAGGTGGAAATCTTCTGTATTCTTGTTGCAATGTAACGGTATAGCTGTAAGAGCAGATCAAACATTCCAGAAAGCACCGTTCATCTTGTTTCTGATCCCTTGTGTAAATTACCTTTTTGCTAACTAACAGCTTGAAGCAGCTGTGCAGAGATACCAGAGCTTGTTGGATGCTAAGATGACAGAGCTGACTGACTCGCAGGAGCAGAACCACAAATATGCCGAGGTGAGTGCCGCAAGTAGCTTGCATGTGTGCATGTGTGTGTGTTTGTGCCTGTGTGTGTCTGTGTGTGTGTGTGTGTGTGCGCGCACGTGTGTGTCCCATATGGTGCAGTGGTATGTGCAGCGATTCCAATCGATAGGTTGCGGGTTCGATTCCCGACGATTATGGTCACACACGTAATTCTTCTCTTTCTCAGACTCCTCCTGACTTTTCTTTCATTCTCCTGGGTGGTTACCAACAACCAGTGCATGCCGGAGTATGTGGTGTGATGTGTGTGCGTGAAAAAAATAAAAAAGACCAAAAAGTAGAGATTCACTGGCCAGAAAAGCCACTTCATAGCTGTGTGGTGTAGACCAGGCTGAATAGTGGTGGTCAATTCTTCAGTCTTGCAAGCTGTTGAATGGTGCAGTTCCAGTACAAGCTGCTATGGCTTCTACTGTAACATCGCTATCATCGCCTCCGGCGATGGGCGTCACATGGTCCAATGGTGTGTGCACGCGTGTCTTTGTACAACCGGGTGTCTGTACGTATGTTGAACTGATGTGTGTGTGTTTTCTGTCTGTATTGGGTGTTTTGCATGTATCTCTCTCTTTCTCTCTCTCTCTCTTTCTCTCTCTCTCTCTCTCTCTCTCTCTCTCTCTCTCTCTCTCTCTCTCTCTCTCTCTCTCTCTCTCATGCCCGTCCAGATTCAGCTGCAGTTGGAGCAACAGCTCAATGCATTCTACACGGAGGCAGAGAACTGAGCAGCTCGTCTTGCGCTCAAGACCGCCAACAACCAACACGTCCACAAAGGTGTTGATAATTATTGTCAGCTCATCATGATAGAAGAAGACCAACATATTTTTTTAATTTTAATTTTGTTTACGTTTGTCACAATCTTTGCTAACTCCATGATAACCCGTTAACTTGCCATGGAAAAAATAGATTGCGAACGGATGCTGCAAATGCTGCAAATGCTGCAATTGAGTATGAACTGTTTGTGTTGTGACTAATTACGTGTAATCCTATCGCGTTCCATTCCAGAACTTCTTTTTAGACTTTACGTGAGTGGCCGTGCATAAACACCCACCAATTCTACAGTCGTATTGGCTGTGTGGCCTAGACTCTTTGCTGCGCGCATGCAGCATCTACACTCGACCCGATAGCCGTGACGACGCGCCACATTAGAACCAAACCCTGCAGCAGCTGAGTGCAGGTGCCGCTCTGCACGCCCTCCCGGCCGCGACAGGCGCTTGATCTGTGTGTAGGACCTTGCTGTACCGCCACATCCCAGTGCATAGCCTGGCAAGGCCAGGGCATTTCCAAGCAAATTATATAAAAAAAACCCGCTTTCAGTCCAGATCTATTCCCAGTATACGAATGTACTACACTCTACAGTTGAACGCAGTCCATAAGGAAACTAGAGAACTCAATAATATAATATATGTACTCCGTCCGTGTTCATGATCCTGGTGTGAGTGTAGACCTGTGTTGCGTGATAACGGGCCGGTGATCCGCTCGGAGATTCTTTCTTTTTTTTGTGTTTCCCACGTGTCAATCCTGTTTTTCTGTGTCTTTTTGCCAACATTTGATCAATGCTGCTTTCGGTGTTTATACTGCTCAAATGATAATGATAATGATTATTATTTTCTATTCCGGCCAGATTGTGTTGTGCTTATCATTTTAAAATCAGATTTTCTATGAGTTTTCCTGGCGGTAGTTTCCAGCCTGCAGCACCGCGGCATGGCAGCGTGTTGGAACACTGTTAATGTCTAGGCACAGCTGTCCAGTGCCCCCCCCCCCCCCTCTCCACGCACACACCACGGTTTTACTGCTGCTGTGTGCCACATGATTGAAACAAATTCTTGGGAGTCACTGACGGTGAGGGGCCTCAGTGTAGAGTGGTGGTGCTCATGTGTTCGTCGTGTGACTGAATTATTTGTGCAGAAAGTGATCATGGCATATGTGGACAGTGGAACCAACATGTCCGACGTCATGTGACCCATAGATGCTGGGGTTGACTGGAGAGGTTCACATGTGCACACTTTGTAGCAGCTTGCATACATCACTGATAGTCGACGGACTGGAAACGCATGAAGGCGTCTGGCGTATGTGGGCCCTCGGGAACCATTAATTTAACTGTGATGGCCTGCTTACATCATGAACAATGTCCCCAAAGAACTCGATTACTTCCTCAACTGACACCTTTGGTTGCTGTCTAGGTTCTTCGGTATTTTCCGAAAGAGTTTCCGGCAAGATCTGTCATTGCCTACTGTAGCAACCACTCCCCGAATCAGTGAATGCCAGCAGCCTCATGCCGATTAGTGATCAGGTGATGGGCATGCACAGCACTAGACATGGCCCGATTTTGCTAGCAATTCTGCTGGCAAAATATCGAAGAATTTTGACGAGAGAATTTGCTGGCAAAATGGAGCAAAATATCGGTATGTTCGCTGGAAATAATTGGGAGATTTTACACTTATACGGTGCATGTGACTCATTTTCGTACATTTTTGCCAACACGTGACTCATTTTTTCTCATTTTTGCCAACACGTGACCCACTTTCGGTCAGTTTTCCTACACGTGACCCAAATTTGGCCTTGCATTGGAGCAAAAAGGGAGCAAAATATCGAGTGACCTGGCAAAATGAAAGCAAAATATCGACGATGAGCGAGCAAAATTTTGCGGCAAAATATCGAAGTTTCCCTGGCAAAATCGGGCTTTGCCTACTATACACAGCACACGCGTACTACATGTAAGCCTCCATGGGATTGCCCTATTCAAAATTTAAAAATAATAATGTTTATATCATGGTTATCGTGTGTACGTGTGTTCTACTGACATCATCAGTGTGTTTTTTTGCTGGGTCAGTCCCACCAAGAGTACATAACACCCCGGTTATGTACATGATGTACTCTTGCTCCCACTGGCACTGGGCGTTCATCCCGGTCTTCTGTCATGACTTGTGTCGAACTATGCAACGATCGAAAACACAGGGGATGCGGTCTTGTGAGTGTTTTTCATGCCTCATGCTGTATACGGTGGTGAGTTGTAGGCCTCGACCAAATATGCTTCCAATTCCGCATATTTCCGCATATTTTGTGAGACAGTTTATATGGCACATTGAGCGACAAAGGGAATATTGGAATGAAGCCAGCGTATAATTCAAACATTCTCAAGAAAATGAGGACAAAACATTCATATTCTGGACAAAATGCGTTCAGAAATGCCTTTTTAAAAGGATGAAGGATGATGAATTTGGAATGGTTGAGGTGTTTGCTACATTTCCCCATGGATGAACACTATCGCTACTGTCGAGCTGTCGCTGGGGACACACCCCAGCCATACTATTCCGCGTGTGTTTTGATTTGCACCATATTAAAGCATGATAGCCGTGAAGCCAATGAATATTCCAAGGTTGTATTTTTACTGAAATGATCTACACTTTCTGCTTATGTCGAGCATGTTTTGGCATATTTTGGCATATCTTTTTGCATATCTTGCTAAGCCTTTGGCATATTATGGACGTTTTCCCTGATATGCGACGAGCAAAATATGCTCTTTTTTAGCATATTTGGTCGAGGCCTAGTGAGTTGTCACGAGAAGACTAGTCGACCGTCGAAGTCGCTCGAAAATTCGAAATGCCGGGGGGGGGGGGCATGCAACTTTGCTCTGGCGTGGAGCACTACACACCAGCACTTCATGCACATTGACATTTGAAGTAAGGCAGCCGAATAGAACAATACCAGTACGGAAACCACCAGCACCTTGATTTCAGCCGACTTTCTGCGCGCAATCTAATTAATTTTAAGCAATGCGCTGTAACAGTATTATAGTAGTACGCGTAACAAACAACACGTCTTTCTCATGAGTCTACTGAAGTACTAGGAGGGGGTATTTGTACGAAACGTTATGGATTCTCCATAGGCAGTGGTGTGTCGTGAGGTTGATCCATACCCCACCCTGCTGAAAGTAGGTGGTGCAGCAGTAGGTGAGGTACTGCGATGCAATTATACTAACAATCCGTTAGGGTGTGCAACGCCGTTTTCCAGTGTCCGCCATCGCCATCGCCATCGTGTTAATACTGTCACAGTGTAGTCCATGACTGTCCAAATCAGTGTCTCCTGTAGGGAGAGTTTTAATAGCCGTCCATGCAATCCAGGACTGTCCAAATCAGTGTCTCCTGTAGGGAGAGTTTTAATAGCCGTCCATGCAATCCAGGACTGCCCAAATCAGTGTCTCCTGTAGGGAGAGTTTTAATAGCCGTCCATGCAATCCAGGACTGTCCAAATCAGTGTTTCCTGTAGGGAGAGTTTTAGTAGCCGTCCATGCAATCCAGGACTGCTCCTGCTGCTGCTGCTGTTAATTAATTAATTAAGTGTTAGCCGTCCTTCGACTACTCATGACTTGGCGCAAACTACTTGTCGAGTATCAACACATAATAATTAATAGTGTTGACAAGTAAGTCCGAAGTAGTGGTTGCGACTTCGGCGATGATTTGTAAGAAAGGTTTGCTCCCCACACCGGAGCTCGCGCTATTCCGCCGACTTTTCTTGACACTTGACTGACTCACGACTGCCATCCAGAGCACACGAGAAGTCCATCGAACCTTCGACTCGGCAAACCTGCAAGAAAGCACCACTCCCTGCTCAATACACAGTGTTTCGGGGAATTCACCCCTCATCAGTTGAGCTTGAGTAGGCTGAGGAAGATTGTGCCTGAAGAGCACCACTTATATAGTGCTCTCCAGGCGCAAACATCACCAGGGATACAAACTTACAGAGACGCTCCGCTTCCAGCGCGACAAACACCTCGTGAACACCAGATAGCAGCGTGAGTCAGTGTCGCTCCTGGACGGTGAGACAGACGTCGAGGACCCTCGGTCATTCGCAACGCTGTCACCTCCAAACCAACTAGTCGCAAGCCCGCGCTGGGCACAACTCTGTGTGCTCTGGATGGCAGTCGTGAGTCAGTCAAGTGTCAAGAAAAGTCGGCGGAATAGCGCGAGCTCCGGTGTGGGGAGCAAACCTTTCTGACAAGTAAGTCAGTTGATCAAACACAGGCACATACGGAAAATACTACCAGGATTATACCAAGAGTATACAGTCATGTACATGTACATGACACCCACGGTCAACTGGGTACTCACTACTCGGAGTGAGGGTTACATGGATGCAGCTAACGAGATTAGCCCTCTTGTCGGGCATTGGTTGTGAGACTTACCACCTCACCCTCGCCGTTAGGCGCTGCATCTGCCACCCTGGTATCACTGGCATGGTGGTGGCCTGGCACATGCGAAACTTCCTAAGCTGGTTGTGTTTCTCAACGCAATTGTATAGCCGGTGGTAACGCGGACGTGCAAACTTTTTTTATTTTATACATGTAAGGGTGTTACACAAAGGCAGAACAACAACAGAGTAAGTTGTGACTGATCAAGTCATCTGTTGTTCTGACTGGTGTGTCACGGCTCTACCTTCCCGGTATCGAGCTCTCTTGGATTTCTGCTGGAATTCACAACAGTAGATCTACTCTTGATTATACACCTGTACATGTACATAACTACTAGACTAGCACATGTACACTGTAGCCATGGTAGCTGCGCTCCGTGAAATCCGACCAAAAGTGACCCGGGCATTTTCTCAGGGATCCATGGTGAAAGGCATGGAATACTTTAAAGAAAAGAAGACACAAACAAGTTATGTCATACAACGGAGGTGAAAGGCTGTGTGGCTTCGCGCATTTCAGCGATCATCAGACATAGCATTTGGCATTCATCACTGGATTCTCTAGGAACGGGCCTACAGTGCTCGTACTCGTACTGCCGTACAACACAACAGCCTCTTTTACGGGCAAAAGCAACACGATATTTGATAATTACGGATAACCCAAAGACTGGATCCCATGGATTACCTACTAGTATGTCAAGGGGTGTTTCCGGAATATGATGAGAAACCAGGGAATGGACTCGGATGGAGAGCCAAGGATTAATTTATAGAAAGAATCGTGCAGTGTCGTGCAATGCTATTGCATGAGGTGATTGTTTAGTAACTGGTGGTGCTAGTGGACATTATAGCGTAACTTGTAGTTCCTTGGTCCTTTTTCTTTCTATACACCAGGGTATGATAGGAATAAAAATAACACACATGTGTGAAAAATATGTCTCATGAGAGTGGCGAGAGTTTTACACTAAACCTAAACCACAACTCTACATGTACATGTAGATCTGGCTTTCACGCAAAGTTGTTTAATAATTATTAGTATGGTGGTCGATCTGGTGATAGGGCCGGTGACCTAGAACCTGAAAAGGGCATTGTGTGGCGCAAGACGTTATCAGCATGTTCATCACTATACTCTCTAATTTATAGAGTATAGTACAGGTAATATACATAGGAAAAGAATTTGTAGTTTGGTTTGGAGAGATTTTCATTTTTTTGTAGCCAAGGACTTTGTGCGGCCGTGGGCGGTAAAAATTAAAATCATGACAAGGCTACACTACAGAGGAGTGACGTCATTCTTATCATAGTAATATGCACTGTCACAGTATGGTGCACTTTATGGTGAACTTACTTCACGAGATGGTGAACTAAGAATGCTTGTGATGGCGTGGTGTCACGAGGGTGGCTTTGTCCTTGTAGCTGGAATGTCTGATCATCGCGATTGGATATGTGCATGCCACCGATGATACAGGCCATTCGCCTGTTCACACGGGGCTCGGAGTGGTCTGCGGTCACTTAGGAGACGCTTTAGGGTTCTGACGTGTCATTTAGGGGCAGGATCTAAAACTTCATTTGCCAGCGCTTCCTGTTGGTCCTGTTGGTCTTGTGACTGGCGTAACTACAGCAGCTGCTGGACATGCGGATGGCAGAGGTACTGTGCATGTGGCTGGCGTTTGATCTGCTGCAAAAGGCTGTATTGTGACGTTCATCTTTGCCTTGGGTGGACGACCAACACCAGCAACCGCCGCCACATTACCCTGGGATTCGCAGCTTGTTAGACGAGATTGTGGCTTGTGTTGCATGTGTATTCCGCGAACACCCGGAGCGTGGTAGCACTGCTGACCAGCGGCGTTGCTGTGGCTCTGTGCAGATTGTGCGCTTGCTCGATAGCGCACTGTGAGAGTAGTGAGCGGCTGATCGTTGCCGTCGCGAATGTCGCACTTGGCCAATACTGGCAATAGGGAATCCTGGCTCGGCTGTACGGCTTCAGCTTGTGATTGATAAGCGATACGTAGTAGATCGTGCGATCGTGAGGAGGGTGACCGTGGGTGTGAGGACGCTTCCGTGGGCACGGCCAAGGGTGTTGTCATGGTACCCCCACAGGCAATGTTATGTGTCTTCCGTGACGCATTGCTGCAAACAGCACACTGGCCGTCGTCATCTGACACTGCGTGTAGTGGAATGCAAGGACTAGGTGGCACAGTATCGAATGACGGGCATGCCACTTGATGCTCTAATCCTAAATTCAGTGGCTTGTGGTGGTCCAAGGGGGATTGCTGCTGACGGAGTCTACGCATCTCAGAGTCAGATGCAGAGTTGTCCTGCTCATGCTGTTCCCTTGTCTGGCTAGCGCTCCTGGTACGCATGGGTGAATACTTACCTTGTGTGTGGTCATGTGACGAGCATACACAACGGGTCCGGGTGCAAGAACAGACACGGATGGATGCGTGGCAGTTCACCACTGGCAGTGGCAGCTGGACGGATCGGCGAAGCTCAGGACTTGCCGCACCGGACGCATACCCAGCATCTCCGACAGGTATGGAGTTGTCGATCTCTTCATCGAACTCCTCATCCTCGTCGTCGTCGACGTCTGCATCATTACAGTCGTGACACAAGGACGCAGAGGATCCAATGATGCCGCAAAGGCGTGCCCGACCAGAGAGTAGCGTTTGGCTGGGCACAAGCTGACCGTGGTCCACAGATGCACTGCGCATTTTACCGGGTGTTGAGATCTTGAGGCGGGTGAGAGCTGCCTCAGCGAGACGGATAGCTTGACCGGTCTCGTGCTCAGCCTGAAGCAGACTATCCTAAAGAACACACAGATACCATGGATACGAGAGCCGAGATGAATAGTTCTATCTTTTAACATTCACCGGAGGGTGTACCCAGTGTGCTGACAGTGCTCAACACCATGGCGGAGGCAGAGCGTAATACAGAACAGAACAACAAGGACAATTATTCAAGGCTTGTTTGCTGCGACTTGAAGTTTCATGCTCTCGCAATCATCAGGCAACACTCTTTTAACATTCTAACATTCATTCGGATTCTGAGCCAGTAATGAAATTTTAATGTAAAATAGAAGAAAAACACATGGGAACGAGTTATGAAGCAACTATCCACGACTGTAACAAGATAGTAAGTACAGTACATGGACAGCTTTGCGCACTGGAGATGATTGTGTTAGACCTACATGTACATATAGGTCTCCATGGTCTCCATGGTCTCAGGTCAGGTCGTTGAATGTCTCAGTAGCCTGTCACGGTGTTGTGCCCTGTTATCGCACTTTCTGACTGCGTATCATCTTGTTACATGCTAGCGTGGATAGTTGCTTCATAACTCGTTGCCATGTCACGTGACTCTATATTCTATTTTACACTTTTTAAAAGAACATGGAAAGGTGGAAACCCAAATTTTAAGATGGAATGACACGTCGCACTGTTCTTCAATGTCCTAGTTTACCACCCAATCATTCTGACATAAGTATCGTCCCCATGGTCACGTCATACGAGACTAGACAGAGCTAGACATACACACGTTGAAAGTTGACACGCGCGCGTCACAGAAAACCGTGGACGTAACTCACCAGGTCGCTGAGAAAGTGTTGCGCCATTCGCCTTCTGGACGACTGGACCCGTGATGGCGAGCCAGGCACCAATCCGTCCTGTCTGCTGCCGCCGTATTGGGACTGTTCACAGCACGCTAGCATCGGTAATGGCGGTGACGACGGAGGTGCTGGTGCTGTGGTGCCTGGTGATGTAACTGTTGCTGCTGGAGCTAATTCGCACGCCGCGGAAAAGTGAGATGTTACATCTTCAAGAACCATGTCCGGACAATCCACTAGATCTAGAGATGCTGACTGACGTCGCTGCTCCATGATACGCGGTGATGACAAGGCCGCGTGCACCCATGCACACTGGACTCCCAGAGATTTCTGACAATCAGAAAGTCACGTTGAAACCGATGCACTCACCGCAAGGCGACACGCGTTTTGCGCGATCTATCCGACACACTGGAATTGTAACCGGATACTAGTAGTTAATCTCCGGAAGGTTGACTCCTTCCTTGTTTCAAATCCCTCGATCCGTGGGCGGCGCACGGTAGCCGGAGAGATACAGCGAGCCACGGCGGTCTGAGAGAAGACAAGTGTTGTACAGGACACAGCGTGTGTGCGTGTGGAGACTGTGGATAGCTTGCACCCAAGAACGGTCGGATCTTACTGCAGAGAACTTCTCTCGGTGCTGCTGCTGCTGCTGCAGCTTCAGTCAACAATGGCGGAAGGTGCAGTGTAACGGTACACTTCAACACAGTCTAGTCATGGAGTGCTGGCACTGGCACTGGCACTGGTACTGGGCTCAGTGAAGTGGGCCGCTGTATATGTAGTTACTCGAAACAAACTCACAGGTGGGTTTGTCCGACACATGGCCAACCGGAGCCGAGGAACATGCACCACTGCCTGCATGTGTCATCCGTCGCTGTGCCGGTACAGGCGGTAGTACTGCAGTGCAGCCAGACAAAATCACTGTTACCAAAGAGTTCTGCCTCTTCATCAAGCACACGATATAATTATTATACCGGTGTGGAGCGCGCAGAAGATTCTAATACGGCGTCGTGGCGTACATGCGTGTGCGCACAATACAAGCAAACAACACAGCTACTAGCTGCTTGCGTCACGTGATTTACGGTGACATGATTCTCCCCCACGGCACCAGTACAGCAGTGATTCCTGCTTGTGCTTTGCGGACATGCGCATGCACGGATGATACTACCTGTTTGTAGGGCGAGCGGCGCTCCGTCGGAAGAAAGAGCGCATGCACGCACGATACCTGTTGGTCCTTCAGAAGGCACATACAGGGACGATCGGATAATCGGATATGGCTGTACAAATGACAATCATAATAAATTATCTGCACGAACGGTGAGAGCCCGTGTCACGTGACGGGAATGTCCATCCCTGGCGTTGCATGTGATGGTGATCTGCTCAATATTTTCAGAACGACGTACATGTAGAATGCACGCGGGACACTCACGAGTCACCGACCGACATAGCAAAGCAGCCTTTCTGCATGTTCTGTGTGTGTGTGAGTGTTGTTAAAACGGGTACAATTGAAGCATTCATGAATCATTGGTTTGAAGGAAGGGATGCAAACGGGAAAAGGCAGCAGAAAACATCGACTGTCACCACCAGGACTCTACCCAGGGACCTTCGCGTTTAATTCGCTAGTGCTTGAGGCCAGCGATGATCTAACCATGCATTGAGCTATTGAAGCACGTTCACGTATAAACGTCGTAAGTCGTTGGTTTGTTGCAGCTGTAGGTTTTGTTCCGGCACCCTGTGTGCGTGTTTGTGTGTGCATGTGCGTGTGTTGTCTAGACAGTTTGCGCACATTGAACGCCCTTGGGAGCTGACACTTGTTACTTGCACAACGAACATCTACTAGTAGACTACTCAGCTCAGTCCAAGTCCAAGCCCGAGTGGAGAATCCCAGGCATGAGGGTAAGCGTGTGAGGAGGAGAGGGGGGGGGGGGGGGGGGGGGGGTTGCGATGTGGAATACATTAATTTTGTGCTTCAGCCTCCAGCCGGCGTCATGGTGATTTGTGATGTCTGCATTCTGAGAAGCGGGCTCGCACCCCAGCATTTCTCTTCCGCACCGCTACCGTCTGGAATGCCTTGCCCGCATACCTGAGAGCCACAGCCTCGCAGTCCCTGTTTCGCAGTCACATTTGCACGCACTTCTCTGACACCAAACACAGTGCCACTCCTCACTGACATGCCTCTTATCTGTCCTCAGGCTCCTTCTTTGAGCTCTGCGCTTTTGTCTTACTTAGTGTTTCTGTTTCTGTATAGTTCGTATTTCAAGGCATACCCCGAGGCTAGAGGTATTAATTGAGTACAGGACCATTCTGGAACATTCAGCCCATAGTTATTATGTATTTTTCTAGCTAGGCTGTTCATTAGCCATCCACTGTCTGCTATCTCAACGCTACAGCCTCCCATTATAATGGAACTCCCTTCAGACTAGGTATGCTTTGGGAAATCCTCAAATATACAATAACAATAATAATAGTAGGGCAACTTCCCCATGTCTAACCCCCCAAGACAAAGTGAGTTCTGTAGTAGTCATACTGGCTCACCAAGACTAATCACACAGCATGGGGCTGTGTTTAGGCCCCCGTGTAATATGCCGGCATTTTTTTGAGCATTTTCGGTACAATCCGCGAACCCAGCACTTTGGGCTCGTGATGCAGCATTTTGGGGGAAACGGAGCACTTGGCCGTTGTGTATCAAAATTGAGAGAAGAAAAACTTCCCAAACAAGAACATCACTTCCGCATTCCGTGGGTTAGCTTCTTGTTCAGTAGTTTATGAATTGTTTACCATGGCAGACTCGAGCAAGTCTCTTATTGAGTATTTTCTGACTCCCTGGTTTTGACGGCGTGTGCTGAGGATGACAAAAAAGTGAGCATTTCCCGAGCATTTTCGGTAAGGTTTGGGAGCATTTTCGGCAAGGTTTACGAGAATTTCCCAAAAGCATTTTCGGCAAAGTTTCGGGCATATTACACCGGGGCCTAGCTGTGTTACCAGAAAACAAGCAAAACAGAATGCTTTTTTACATAGCAAAAAAAAAAGAAAAAAAAAGCAAAACAGAATGGACAAAACAAATAGAATACAAACATGAACATGAGAAGAAACAGGAGCACAGGACGTCAGGAGGGAAGCGAGAAAAGGCAACTAATCTCGTGCGATGTGGGCTTCCGACACTGCCAGAGTGCGGGTTAGTTCATTAGCAGCAGCACGATGCCTGACACGAGAGCCACGCGACCAAGCAATGCAAGAACGCAGCAAAGCAAACGAAACTAGTCCTGCACGGAATGAAAGCCTTGGCATAGCTGCAAGGCTCAAACTGTTTTACTGAGCGCAGGTTAGCTAAACGCTTATAATTCATACTGGCCAAAGTAAAAAATCTCGGATGGAGAGCCAAGGGGAATAATAAAAACAGAGAGCAGCAAAGGTTTACAAGATATCAGTTGTTTGTGTTCAACATTATCAATCGAACATGGTTGAACAAGCGGTCACGTGCTCCTGCGTACACCAGACACCTTGTCACCATGGTCACCGCGCTAGGCCCAGACAGATTCTGCTCCGGTCGCCTCGATATTTTGCGGCAAAATGTTGCTGCGAAATCTTCGATATTTTGCCGAGCCTGGCACAAGAAACTCGATATTTTGCTGCATTTTGCTCCGGGAAAACGTGTATTATATCCACTTCCCGTACAATCCCGTGCAACGTTTCATAAAAATCGCAGGGTTGGTTTATCAACACGGGTTTCAACGCACGTGTCCCTGAATTCTTCCAAAATCAAGTCGATCCACAGTGAATCCCAGAGATGTTTCGGTGACATGATCTCGTCCTGGCCAGTGTATCCTGCTGAACGGGTAAAAAACAAGGAAATCCAAGTATCAGGCATCGATTTTACCCAACATCTCGATATTTTGTTCCGATTTTGCCGGCAATTTCCGCTCTTTCAATTCTTCGATATTTTGCCGAAAGAATTGCCAGCAGGATCTGTCTGGGCCTACACCGCGCAAGCAGCCGACAATTAATATTTCACACCAAGGTTCAACTCGAGTGACAGGCTCTAGGATCCCCTAGGAATGCACGCAAACAGGCTGTTACTTGTACCCTGCAGGCACAGTGACCACGTGACTGGTGTACGCAGGAGCACGTGGCCGCTTGTTCAACCATGTTCGATTGGGAATAAGGCCCGAACGCTGTATCGCAGCCTTTTCGGACCAAAACCAGTCGACTCAGCGTCCAAAAGACTACAACATATGGGCCAATCGCTGTCATCCGAGCTTTTTTAGAACGAAATGGCGCCTTTAGTGACATTTTGCATACAAATCCCCATCTAGTAGGGCGCAGTCACCCAGTTTCGGTGGAGGGGCGCGAGTTAAATTGGGAATAAAGGAGGAAGGGAGCGTCACAGCTTCCTCGGACCAAACCCATTCGACTCAGCACCCCGAAGACTACAACTGGTGATAATTTAACTTCCCCTTCAACAGGTAAGTATACTTCTTGTAGAAAGTATGTGAGCCCTCAAACTAAGAAAGGTGGCAGGTACAACATTACAGCAGCCGAGCCTATTGGCAGCCGACCCAACACTGTCTTGCATAAGTGTACCTACCGACTGAACCAGCTGGCACGACACACACACACACGCACACGCACACACACACACACACACACACACACACACACACCTCCTGGTCATGGTCCTGGTAAACGCTGCCATTACGGTCACGTGTCCCCTTACGGGGCCGACAATATAGAACGACGAGCGGGACCACGTTCGAGAGAGCCATCTCCAGCAGCTATGGATCTGGCTTATCATCGGAAACGATTCCTCTCACGGCTGCCGCTAGAACTGGTCCATCACTCTCCACAACAGAGCGAACATTCCATGAGCCAACGCTCCGAGTCGTTCCAAGTCGTCGTCTTCGTGCAGTAGTTTGCTCCACTCGCGGGTTTGCAAAGCCTCGCGAAGGACTCCGAGGTGGGGGCGACGAGGAGAGTGTCGGCATCGTAACTATCCGACCAAGTCTCCTGTCGGTGAATACCCCACCTCAGGCACTGTTGGCCTGGACGGCTGGGGACACCCCAGGCCGTCCACAACGGCGAGAACAAGCACGGACGGAGGTACAACCGTCCTCCACCAGAGCAGAGAACACACACATTGTCAAGATGTTCAACTATTTGAAAGATTTTCTTATTGTCGGAAACGATTCCTCTCACGGCGGCCGCTCGAACTGGTCCATCACTCTCCACAACAGAGCAAACATTCCATGAGCCAATGCTCAGAGTCGTTCCAAGTTGTCGTCTTCGTGCGGTAGACAACTTGACAACTTGTAGACAACTTGGAACACACACACACACACACACACACACACACACACACACACACACACACACACACACACACACACACACACACACACACACACACACACACACACACACCTGTCCTGTCCAGCCACTGCCACAAGGATCACTTGCAGGGGCAACGGAGAGAGAATAGGAGAACACTGTCCCATGGTGCCACGGACACAAAAACGACAGTTCGTCTGGAGGAGCGCCATTGGCACAAGCACATACACACACACCACGCAAAGAGAGCAAATTCTTCACGTACGAGCTCGTCTAATGGCATGGGAAGCAGTAGCCAACGTACTTTATAAACTCAGATGCCAAAGGAAACAGCTGAACTAGACAATGCCGTGAATTAGCGGGCAGCCAACGAGCAACATAGAGGGTACAATATTCACAAAGGATTGCAGGTGGCAGACCACACCATACAAGCAGGTATACAGAATGCAATCATGAATGACATACCGGAGGATGCACCCAGTGTGCTGACAATGCTCAACACCACGGCGGAGGCAGAACGTAATACAGAACAACAAGGGTAGTCAAGGCTTGTTTGCTGCTACTTCAAGTTTCATGCTTTCGCAATCATCAGGCAGCATGAAAATTGGGTGCTGACCATGCCGGTATATATGCCAGGAGAGGGTGGGTCTTGTAGTGCTGTATGAAAAGCTGTGTAAGAACATGTTGCCTGATGATTGCGAGAGCATGAAACTTGAAGTAGCAGCAAACAAGCCTTGATTGTCCTTGTTGTTCTGTTCTGAATGTAATGGCATACAAAGGCGAACATATTTTCCGAGTATAAGTCACACCCAGGTTTTCCTGTTGTAATGGGTAGCCGAGTGGTAGGCGCGGTGAAATCAACAAGAATTACTTTTATTCTACTTTCAGGTACACACCTGAGATATAATTATTAGTGAAAGAAGAAGCGGCAAAATAAATAAGATTCAAGACCTCTCCGGTGCTCACCTAGAGGTTGACTACTTCTTCGAGTTATCTTTCGTTGCTATCTAATCTAATCTTCTCTTCATCAAAACAGAAATGCTCAGCCGCTTTTATGCAGCAGACGCCGTACGCTTACATACGGAGATACACTAAATATACATCAGGCAAAGCTCCGTATTAGTTCCGTACTGCTTCCGTATTGGTCGGGCAGGGATACTACACCCTCCCTTCCTAAAGATAATCACGCCCTCGTGATTTTCAAAAAATTACTGAAGAGTTACGAAAACAGCGTCAACTGGAAGATGGCAAATTATA